TCTCTCATTGTCAATTAAAGGGTCAAATTGACTGGCACGTCTCGAGAGGAGTGCGCAGGATCGACCACCCCTACGCTGAAGCTAGGTGGATATACAGCTCCATCGAGCAGACCCTTTTGGCTTGCTGCGTGTGTCCTCGGCACGGGACGAAAATTCTATGTCGACAATTATGAATCAGGATATATGACTTGCATATGTTGTACTCCTAGAAGGATCATGATTACATATCACAACTATGAAGTAGAGCATGCATGAAGCTGCTAAATGTCAAGCATAGAAGCTAAGACATATAAGAATGGATAAGAATTAGAATATTTAAATGTTCTCTTGAAGAAGAGCTTAGCCATGTTCTTATAGACTTGTATATGTCTTTAAACTTACTATCCTGCAGTATTAGTAGTAGTGGTAATGGTGCTTTAAGTTTTAGTTCCCGCTGAGTTAAGTGGATTATGTAAACTCATAGAAGAGTTAATGGTTACTTTATTAGTTTGAAGACTAATATGAAGCATTTATATATTCTTAGTTGTAATTCTTACTTGCAGTAATATATGTCAATCTTGCATGGAATAAATAAGTTTTATATGTTTCGCATATAAATAATTGTCTATTTTTGTCTATCTAAATAAGTTTGCAATGATTTATCCACAAAGAAGCCTCAATTAATCATGAAGGTTATAGTTTTTTGTGCACTACTACTATGTATATAGAAGGGAAACTAGATTTTCTAGAAGCATATGAACAATTGGACTATATTGACATATTAACTGATCTTGGAGGGATCGATTTAGCCAAGAAATAGTATAATCCTAAAACTAAGTATTTAATACGTTAGACAAAAAACTAGAAGTTTATATTCTACCTTGAATACATAGTTGTACACTAAATAGTACACTATATATGTGAATTTCATGCCATAATAAATGAATACGAGAAGTATGATTAGATTCTTTGAAACATTAGGAATGATTATTCATAGATGATGCATGAAGCATATTACTACTTGAAGTAATTATGGCATAAAAATAGGGAGCAATTTTGGGTAAAGACATAAGAAAATATGGGTAATATATATTTAATAGGCATAGCCTTACTAAACCTATCTTTAAGTGCATGTATCAGGACTTGAAGTCCTAGCCGCGTCCTCTCCGACCGAGTTAACTTTCTCTACATTGCACGAATTGCATGTAAGCTTGTAGCTTTGCATTTTGTTGTTATCTATTACACTAGATTGAATACCAACATTTCATATTACACATGAATGTGTATCACTATGTTGTGCTCTCGTTGAGCTGCAACTTCTGCACTCCTGTATGAGTATTAGCATAACAGCTATATCCATAGTTTGTAGCTACTATATTTTCCCCTCATAATTAAACTGGCTAGCTAGCACGTTAGTTATCGTTGAACTAAGAAATATTTTGCTTTCAATGCGTTGCATGCATAAGCAATACATTGGTCTATGGCCAAGTAGCCTAAGATTAGAGGAGTTGGTTAATCTGAAATTAGCTAAATGAAGAAGTGACCCAATTGATGGGATGAATAATTGTAGAATTAAGATGATGGATAGCACACTTAGATGATTTGAGATTTTTGAAAAAAGGTATTTTGGGAATTTTGTATTAACGGCAATTAGAAATTTTTAGAAGAAATTCCATGTGATTTTGAATGTTGCGTATTATATATATTTGAAATATATGGTCCATTTTTTATGTATGAGTAATTAGATCGTTTTTTTTGGCTAAACAATAAAGAAGCTAGATAATAAAATAGTTTTCTAAATCATGATATGTGCAAATCAGGGGAGAACATCTCTGAGTTTGTAGGAGTGCTGAACATTCTTAAGTGCACTTTATGTATTCTAGCTCGCTGCATTTAGTGAATAATAACCCCCGTGTTAAAATATGTGTGTGAATATTTTCCATAAAACTACATCATAGCATGCATGAATGGACCTCCACTTATAGTTGGAGATACATGAATTTAAATTATTTTATGCCCATAATAGGGAATATCTTTTGAAGTCTGCTATTAAAGATCTAATATTAGAATTAGGGGGAAAGAAAGCCTATTTTAAATGCCAAATATTATTTTCATGGAAGGAAAATGGTCTTAAGAGAAAAAATATTCCTTGAAGATTGAAGCAGGAATAGTATCATGCCCTAAATCAAATAATAGTTTGACTAATGCTCTTGTGAAGCATGAAGTGAAGCATATGCTAGATATTTTTGAAAATGAGAGAACTAACTTGAAGTTATAAATCAGAAGTTGTGTTTACTAGTAGTAAACTAAATATTGTATACTATCAAGCTAAAATCTACTGGGACGCCTATGGATTTTAGTTTAGTGTGTACTTATTAGATAGAAATAAAATGAAACTCCTCCATTCTCATGAAGAGAACACCACATGAAGAAGATTAAGAACATCATGAAGAGGATCTTCATGAAGATGAAATCCAACACACTAAGCGTGTGCATTATTAGTGTTGGGATGTAGAGCAATAAATTATCTCTTGTTTGAGAAATGACAAAAGAGATAGAATAATCTCACATTGTGAGAATATTGGGAGAAAATAATAGTTGTCGACAAAGCTACATCTAAAATTGTAAATATTTCTCTTATGAGAATCCGGATCCGGAAACAAAGTCCATGACAAAGTCGCCTGTAGCGGTTATATCGGGTCAATGAAGAAAGCAATTGAGGTTGAATCTCCTACTTAGAAGAAATAAATATTCTGCTATATCTTTGGCAAATAAAATGAATAAATATAAAATATGCAGTTAATAGTGGATTATGAAGATCCATATAGTTCCAGAAGAATATAAATCACAATATATAAAAAATAAATCTCATACAAAGTATTAATAAGTCTAAGGTATAATATATTCCTGAATGAATATTGAAGTCTTAAGAAGAACATATCTTAGAAGAAATAGTCATCGAATGACTTTGTAGTAAATAACACTATCTTATTATGTATATCACATAATAATCTCTCATGTAGTAGAGAATATATCTCATAGAAGAGAAATATTATTCACTAAGAATGAGAACATCCTGAAATTTACATTCTTGAGCACCTTCAACCCAAGTTGGCTCCGGGATGATTACCACAGTCAATCCATTCTTGAGCACCTTCCAATTCTTGCTCACGCTTGCACACCCTCGTGATCTCGATTCTTGAAAAGCATCATTAATCCTTACCGAAGTTGCGCCCCGATTTTGATAGACCTTAAAGTAGAGTAAAAAAAAATGAGGAATTCTAAATACCATGAAAGTGTCATATAAACACTTAGAAAGTGCATATTGAAAGGCTAGCAATGAAGTGATATATCCTCTAAATACCATAGAAGATATGAGAATATTAGTGATTTTGGCAATTAAATTATCCCCTAGGAATGCCAAATGCAGGAGGAGGAATTTATTATTTAGTAGTAGTAGTAGTCTACAACAATCTAAACTAGTAAGATTTGTAGAACATATGATATGAAAATCCACTAAGTAAGAATTATAACTATTTAAACTCTAGTATGAGATTTGATGCACTATCATTCAAAAGATACTTTAAATGTGATATGCATCATAATGCCATATAACTTAATTTTGTCACAAATTTCTTTGGCATCATAAATGAAAAAGAATTATCTGAGTTCAAAGAAAAGCATCATAGATCAGTAGTATAGGTTCAAAATTCACCAAGTGTAGTTTATCTGCATAAAGTCCATTAAAAGTTTACTATACCCCTTGTTCACAAAGAGGTCATCTCAATTAAGTATAGGAATAGATTAAGTAGAGAAAGTAGTAGGTTTTGTAATACTAATATACTACTAGAAATTGCATGACCAATTCATCAAATCGCTCACAAATTGTTTATAACCTGTATAAATAGGTCACAAATTCGTATAAATAATTCATAGAAACATTATGAGCCAACTTTTGAAAGATATAGTAGCTCTATGAAACAGACCTAAGCGAAGCGCGCTTAAACACTAAGTTAACGAAGAATTAGAAGGTATTGCAACGTAGTGGAACCTAGAGAAACCATTACTACAAGAATAAGTGGGTTTTTTCTATGTGAATTTTTAATGAAGGAAGTAAGCGGGCGTGTAATTTATAGAGGCTTGGCAGGCGGTTTAAGGTTTCAAGCGGCCACGGCAATTTCATGCCGGCAAGTAAATATAAATTTCTGCGGGATCACACACCGAGGTTTTAATAAGACAACATGAAGTGAATGTAGACCAGAGAAAAAAATGAGGAATTCTAAATACCATGAAAGTCATATAAACACTTAGAAAGTTATTGAAAGGCTAGCAATGAAGTGATATATCCTCTAAATACCATAGAAGATATGCAATGTACTCTTTTCTTTAAAACCAAATGCAAGACCTGAATTTATTATTTTTACAATCTAAACCGAAGATTTTAGAACATATGATATGAAAATCCACTAAGTAAGGATTGAACTTTTTAACGTAGGATTTGATGCATATCTTAAAGATGGTGAATATTGTAACTTATTTATCCTTAGAGGAGATTTATTATAAAACATAAAAACTCTATCCTAAAAGGAAATGAGAAGGAAAAATCGCTCTTAATACCTAATTCATAGAAACATTATGCTTTTTTATGTGGATTAAGTGGTTTTTTTCTATAAACTCTAATAAGACAATATGTGCAAAGACTATATATATGTGAGTTTCGGAGAAGTTTTTAACTCTATGTGCATATCGTGGTAAGTCCAGGAAGGAGTGTTGTAAAACATACAAATATTAAAAGATGAGAAAAATCCTAATCCTAATAGTTTTATGTGGACTCTACCAAACTCTTATCTCTATATATTGTATCTATGTTGTAAAGTATCAATATTGAGAGAAATAAAGAATAGTCTTCCTATCTTTTATATCTATGTTCTACTTTCATCTACTGTGTTGATCGTGACAGAGGGAGTGAGAAACTAGCAACATATTTTATAACAAAAACAAAGCAAGGAAGGAAAAAAAACATGGCGATGGCTCCTCTCCCAACCGTTCGTCGTCTTCCACTAACGTCCTGCAGAACAACAGCACCAACCTCGTCGCCATTATCCGTTCGCCGTCCACGGCCAAGAGCCCTTTCCATCCCTCGCGTCCACTTCTGCGCCAGCCGGACCCCGCAAGCCCCTGCCGCTGCTAGGGAGGCTGCTGCTTTCTGGGCTGGGAAGCTCGCCGGCGCTGTGCCATGGAAGGCCGCGTTCTCCGGCGTGCTCGCCGTCGCCGTCTCCTTCACCTGTCGTAAGTTTGCTTGGTCTTTACTTCGGCATTTAGATTTACAATGCTTCGGGGAACATTCCTGAGTGAAGGAGGTGGAAGGGCATTTGTTCCGAATTGCTGTAATAAAGAATGTTATTTGTGGCGAGAACATGCCGTCGCTTCTTCACCCATATATACTTTTGTTCTTGCTTCCTATGCCTAGTTGAGAAATATGAACTGGGGAAAAGTATGGGATAGGAATAGGGGAGGCTCTTGAAATAAAATGCAGAGATATAACAGCGGACTTTTAATTAAGTCTACCATTGCATAGCTGTATGGTAACACGAACAGGTGGATGGTGAAGGAGAGTAATGAAGTACCTAACTATTTGTGAGATTAATCTTTAAACTTGAAATAACTACTCTGATCGAGTTCCAGATTTATATTTGCCTCCATATGCTGCTGTGCAGTGCTGGTACCGTTTCTTATCAATGTCTAGTAAAAAAAAGAAGCATAGAATATATTTTTTTGATAAACTTGCCTTTTGTTCACCAGTAAGTGTCAGTTAACATCTGGTACTTGCAGTTGTTGGTTTGGCCAATGCCAGAACTGGGGTAAACAAACCAGAATTGCTTCCTAAAGAATTTACTACCGTCATCGATGTTGCTGGTTTTCTCTTGTCAGGCCAGGTAGTTCCATCCCATTACATTACACTAAGTATTTTGTTTCTTCACAGGCACTTAGGAAATTTAGTGCCCTGATGACAATACTGATAATCAGATGATGAAAAACTTAACCTGAAAGCATTAAACTGATTAGATTTGACAAATGCTGAAGATCCTAATACTATTTGTTCTTCTAGGATTAGATATCCTGAGTGTCCTGTGCATTTTTTCCGAGGAAGAAGAGAAAACTAAACATTTATGTAGGATGTAAATTGTCTGATTGAGGCACATTATTTATGATCAGTTCATCTTGCTATATATATCTTTCATGAAATGTCTTATCTCTCATTTTAAGTCTTATATTGATATAAAGAGGTATACTTGCCTTGATTGTTTTTTTGTTCTAACTGAGATGCACTCTCTGAGCATCTCGAACAGATTACCTATCCCACATTTCCTAAAAGTCTATATAGGTGATCTCCTATTATTATTCAGGTACCTTTTTCTTCTTCTTCAACAGATTACCAATAATTTTGGATAGGCTTTAAAGTGGATAGGGCAGAGGAGGTGAAACTCCTACATTTGAGGGAGAGGGGGTTTGATTTTGAGTAATTACTTAAAAATTTTAGGTATTGGGGATATGACGAGTAATCTGTTGAGCAAGCACAATCCCTTATATTGCATTTTTTTAGTATTGGAGATGAGATACATAATCTGTTGGAGATGCTCTTAGCTACACATCAATCATAGAGAAGGGTTACTTGTTCTTAGGAAAACCGTTTGCGCCAAGAGATAGAAGACCTGGAGAAGGATACAGGGTACAAACTGCGAGTCCTTGCACAAAATTATCCTGATACACCTGGTGAGTTTTTTTTAATTCTATATGGTGCACCCTTGGCTTGCTTTCCATTGTTTCATCACTATTTTCATTAAAAAATACTTATAATCTTGGTATGCTTGGTTACAGTTTCCTAACTTGCATATTCAATCTCTTGTTATGATGTCTTGATTAACCACATGAAAATGACCAAATATCATTACCTTAATGAACTATGGTCCTGTTGTTTTTGCTATCGTTTATTACAACAGAAATGAGCAAAACTACCCTTTTGGAGATTGTTCCATGTTGGAACTATAACATAACTTAGTTTATGATATGGCTTTTTTCTCCAATTTAGTATGCAACATCCTTTCAATCAAATTTCCAAACATCATATGACTTCCTTTCATAAGGGAAAGCATTTGGTTGTACCATTATTCCATGAGTGAACTAATGCGATGTTTGGTAAATGGGATAGGGAAATGATATCCCACCCTCCAAAGGGTAATATTGCATCCTAGCCATCCATTCTTCACACCTCATTTAATCCTAGCCGTTCATCTATTTCCCTTTCCCAATCCAACCTCTCATAACCCATTTGCCAAACATTGTGTAAATTTTAGCAGGATGCAAATCCCTATCTTGTCATGACTCCGCATGTGATGTCCTATTGTTGCGATTTGTTTCATTGCTATTTGTGCTGTATTGTTCCAGGATTGGCTATCAAAGATTTTTGGCAGGTTGATGAGCGTACTATTGTTTTTGTTGCTGATCCAACCTTTGGTAAGATACTTGCAGCATAATGGCCAAGTTTTTTCTTTTGTTTCCCTAAATGCAGCAACTGTTTGTTTTGAATATCACTTTTGATCAGTGCAAAAGGAAAAAAAAAGACGTGGAATTTGAATAATTTAATGAATGGACTGAGTGGCTGAACAAACTAATTGCAAGGTCTTTTCGCTGAATGCAATTATAGAGAGTTTTCTGTATCACACTGGTGAAAAGAAATGCTGTTGTCTCACAGAATGCGGAAGTTTTGACAAACTTGTAAGATGAATCATGCCACAGTTTTACTTTTTTCTTGACATAAATGAATAATTGAAAAGCAATAGATCGATTCCTTGAAACTGATCCACATTAGTTGAAACATATTGCCCTATTGCTATTGGTGATCCCATTTATGACAAGCTTTGTCATTGCTCCTTCATAGCAACAAAGTTCAAGAAGGCGCTAGGCGCTTTCTAGGCGCTGACCCATAGCCTAGCGCCTAGGCTAGCCTAGGCCAGCCTAGGCGCTTCAAGGCTTTTTTCTAGGCGTTTTGCCAATTTAGCACACAACATATATATATATATATATATATATATTATATCAGAAAATGCTGAATAAATTAGTTAAATAAAGCATAGAGTAGCTGAATATAGTATATAAAAGAGAGGGCAGTAGACATACCTTAGTGGCTTACTGGCTTAGGCTCAATAATCAATAGACAACTTGTTCCTAGTTCCTACAACAAGGATTGACAGCTTGTAAATACTCAATAGACAGCGAGAAGTTCAACAAAAAAATAGAAAATAGCAAGTTGACACTTATATGAATGATTTCAGCCATCTCCCATCCATGAACAGACCATATCAGCAGCTAGTAATTCATAAATAAAGGTCTTGTTCAGAGACCACATAGTTCTCACAAAAGAAGAAAAACACAGTCACACAGCAGCAATTCATAAGTTTCAGACATACATGAATGCATCATAAAAGATAAACCATGACATGATAAAAAGGCCCCACTACCATATCATCTTTCTTCTTCAATAGGGTTCCACATAATCATCCTCATCTTCATCAAACTGTTCTTCGGAGTCAAATTCTTCTCCTTCATAAAGCTGTCCCACTCTTGCACTTCTACGCAGCTCAAGTTGTTCTTCTGCTCCCACTGCATCTCCAATAACAGACCAAGGTATCCCTGTACCTTCCATCTCATCTTCCTCATCTCTATAGACAACTAATGCACAATCATCTCCATTCTCATGCAGAAAACCTTGAGCTTCAGTTGTATCATTAGACAAGAGAACATCACTGATCTTCTTTGACTTGATCTTTTCTTTCTTATTAATTAGCTTGGAGTTGAATTGAATATAGACCAATTTGTTCAGACGGACTGTAGTAAGCCTATTTCTCTTTTTAGTGTGTACCTATAAATTTAAAATAAGAGCATTTTCTGGTCTACAATTTAATTGTAATGCTGCTGCAATTTTCAGGTAGATAGGTACTAACTCCTTCAAACCTGCTCCAATTTCTTTCACAACCAGAAGAGCTTGATGTCAAAGATAGGATCGTTGTAGCCATCTTCTGTAAAGCTGGTGTTTCAGTTCCATACAGCCGCCATCATGATGCTGAAATAAATGAAAAACACCTCTATTAGTTAGTAGCCATTTATTGTTAGATGAAAACAGCAAACAACCATGTTGTAATCAAATTTATTGTAAATCCCTCCTTGCATCACCTTGTCACAGAGTTTGCACTTCACCTTGCCCTTGTTAGCATCAACAAGAACCCCATATTCCCATCCCACATCATCCGAATTCCTTCTCAGGATATTCGCTCCCTCAGTGTTCGCTAGGCATACATTCAGATTCAAAGCACAGATCAGTCTCTAACATTCAGGCATTCAGAGTAGTCATTTAGAGCATTCAGGCATCCATAGTATTCAGCTTCAGAGCAGGGGAGAGGAGGGGAGCAGTGAGCAGGGGAGGGGAGCTGCGAGCAGGGGAGGGGACTGACCTTGGGGCTGCCGCTTAGGGAGGACTGGAGGACACCGTCGGGGAGGGATGCGCCTGCTGGAGGGGTGCGCCGACGGGAAGACGAGACCGGCGGGGAGCAGTGCGACCGGCGGGGAGGAGCTTAGGGACAGGCCACGGGGAGGAGCTTCCAGACGGGGAAGAGCGCGGCCTGCGGATCCACCTGCCTGGCGCCGGCAGGGAGGAGCGCGGCCGTTGGGAGCAGCTTCCTGGAGGGGTCGCAGGCGGAGGCGGGTGAGCGGCAGCGGCTGTTTGAGAGCGGGAGAAGCACGAAGCAGGCAGGCACGCGTCCTTTCCCCCCTTCTCCCTCTTATCCTTCCCGCGCGAGGCTTCTTTTCCCGCGCCCGAAGCCAGTTGCGCGCGCGCTTCCGCGGGGGCGGAAAATTTTGCGCGCTCGCCTGAGGTGTCCGCCTCCACGCCGCCTAGAGCGCCTGTGTGCCGCCAAATCGCCGCCTTGCGTTGCCGAGGCGCTGCGCCCGCCTAGGGTCCGCCTACCCCCGTAGGCCAGGCGAAGCCCGTCGCCTCCTGATTAGTCGCGCCTAGGCACGCCTAAGGCGTCGGCTTTTTGAACTTTGCATAGCAATGTTATTGGTTCATTCAAATTGCATATGATGTTTTTCTTGAGGTCAACTACGAGGGGATCAAAAACTGATCCCCACCTGATTTCATTCCACAGATCCCAGCAAGCTGGTGGGTAGAAGGGTGCAATGCACCTATTACAGAGACGACCCTTGGAGGTCACAGAAGTACATGACATAGGGGAAGAGAGAAGGAATACAACACCAGCAAAAATAAAACAAACAAACAACAATACCGTGGTACAGCTACAGGCTCAGTCTACATCCAGAGCTAGTGCGAGCACCACGTTCCCGACCTCTGCCACCACCAAAGACAGACTCTGAAGAACTCTAACCACATGCAGCTGTAAGCGAGTCGGGTCCGACAGACGACAGGTAGGAAGCAGAATAAACCGGCGACAACCATGAGTTGCATCACCTATGAGAGCATCTGGCTTCTGGCCAACGCCCACCAACGCCATTTGGGGGGAGGAAGCCTCAAAGGGGGATGAAAGTTAGGACGAAACGAGAAGATCCAAAGAGGAGATCAAGGTCCCCGCAGCCTAGCATATGATGAGATGAAGCACTCAAGTGAACTAGAGGATGACAGAGCAAGCCATCGACGGCGAGCACCTGCTAGCAAGCAGTGTGCGCAAAAGCCAAGGGGCAGGAGGGTAGTCAGACCAATAACAAGATAGGGATGGGAGAGCAACCAGGGAAAACACAAAGGATGAGCCGGGTGCAGATGGGAGCAGGTGTGCTTGTGTCAATGCCTTCAAGAAGGAAAGTGACGTCCACGGACGCCACCATTGACGACCGGGGCCTGCAAGAAGGAAGGTTGGAGGGTCTGAGCTGGCTCCTCCACGATGGCGCCCTCAAGAGGGACGCAACGTTGTTGACGCCGCCACCACAGGCTCTAGGGAACCAGAGCTAGGTTTTCACCAGGAGGAGAGCGACATGCTATAGTGTGGGGGGCTATGTCGACGCCTCCAAGGAGGTAAACGGGGCCGGATGGCATCGTCGTCGATCGCACAGTCAAGTTGTGCACGGCTTTCGTCTAAGCTCCCCAAGCCCATGAACTATAGCCTTCACTGCCAACTAGTCTCGCCGTCGACCGTCCTTCTCTCCCAAAAACAGAGGGCGATATCATCCCGGCCACCAGCGCACGAGCTAGGGCAGGATGGGGTGCAGCTGCGGTACCCGCGACTGCGAGCCGGAGCGGCCCCGTAGGCAATTGCCGTGCTATGTCCAGCAGACCGGCTGCTGCCGCAGCAGGCCGGCGCGCCTGCCCGGGGACCATGCCTCATGGGTCGGAGGAATCGAAGCGGAACCAGAGGTTGTCGTTGAAGGACACGACACCTGCAGGAAGCTGATGGCAGAGCGGACGGCGACCAGGCCCACGTGGACCCCCTTGCCGGAGGTGACCAGGTCTGCCGTGGCTGCGCAGCGTGGAGCTTCCGTGTTCTGGCCGCGCGAAGCACAGCGGCACCACACCTGCCGGCAGAGCAGTCCACCGCGCCCTCCGGAAGCAGCCACCGCGCGGAGCCTGGGCGTTGCTGACCGTGGCACTGCATCTAGCTCGATCTGCAGCTCCCTGGAGTCAACGCCGGCGAGCGCTCGGTCGCCTCAGCCGGCCATAGCCCCGGCCAGCAGAGCCAGATCCGGCCGCCGTGGGCTGGCCCCGGCCAGCCACGAACCGAGCACAGCCGTCGCCGCCGCAGGCAGAGTCGGCCCGGAGACGTAGCCGCCGAGCAACAGTCCACCTCCACAGATCCACCATTCACGCTCACGGATCTGGCCATTAGAAGCACGGATCTGGCCAGAGCATGAACAAACAAAGATTTGGAAGAGATTCAAAATTGGGGAGAAAAGAGGAAGCGGTGGAGAAGAAGCACGCGGGGGACAGCCTTGTTGAGCGCCCGTCCGCTGGCCGCCGCCGCCACGGCCGCGGATGTCAAGGAGCCGCGGCGGCAGCGGCCGAGTTAGCCGGAGGGGAGCGGAGGCTAGTTGGCCGGGCGAGTCGCCCTCGAGTCGCCTCGCGCGAGGGAGACGATGCCTTTCCGCAATGTAAAAAGCTTAGAGAGTTGTAGGAGTATCAAATTGCATATGATGTTATTAAGAGGAATCTATAGTTGTCTATTTGAAGATGTGACCAGATAGAATTTTAGCACTGAGTATTATGGCATTCTTCTGTGTACTAGTACTATAAAAATACTTGAACTTCATTCGCTGTGATATTTATTGGTGGGTCATATGTACTGAATCTGGGAATCTTTTGGTAGGTAACATAATAAATTTCAACATTGGTCCATTAGTTGATTTAGACGTCCCTCAGAGCTTTTGGAGTCAGGTTTCTGGGAAGTAACATGTTCTACTGGAAAGAAAAGGTGACATTCTATTGTTTGACCTATTAGTTATCATGATATATTCATATTGCATTGCAGTACTTGTTCCTTGCATCACTTTTGTACTCCCAATTCATCAACAAAATATGTTTTAAATGCCAAATTAGCCTTGGAATCCTACCATAGTTTATAAAGTCTTGAATTTGTCATGGGGACCATTTATACCTTGTGTCTCATTGCCGTAAACTCTACTAAGATCAACAACCTAAATTCCCCAATGGGAGACTTATAGATGTTGAGGAAAATATACATCATCAGGTTGGAACATTAATGAGGGAGTCACCATGCAGGAAGTATGTAATCAATGAAAATGAGACCTTGACGAGTCATGCCACTGGTATGTAGGCGAAAGAACTGCGCACCATTTTTGCAGCTTCCTGACGGATTTACAAGTAAACTACAAAATCTTAAAAAGGAGGGCTGCTCAAAACAATGTTATTTATATTTTCGTTCTCTATTTTGTAGTTTACATGTATGGATGGAATTTTCTCAGTATTTATTGATGGTATCGTTGCTTATCTTGAACAATGGATCAGGGAGAGGACGCCTCAATTGAAGCTGCTGTGACGGCGATATCACGCTGTCTAAGAAACCCCACCGGGACAAACAACTGTTCGGAGGTATTATAGAAAGTAATGAGTTATATCGGCCAAAGAAACACGGGTGTACAGAAGTGAAATATTAGAACAGAGACTAAAGATGTCTCATCGTTTCCACTCTCCAGAGAATTAAAGGCTTCACTCTTTCAAATTGAGAACATTTATCTGGTTGTGAATATGGATATTTTTACAATGCAAGTGTGGACTTCAAAAACTCTAAATAAGTTAGTACAAACAAGCATGCTGGAACATTTTATACATGCGACATTTCTTTTTGTAATTGTTTGGGATTATATTAATCTAGAGAAGTAGCACATTCCTTTCCACGGAAATGTACCAGAAAAAAAGGAAAGTTACATCAAATTAGGTTATCTTCTTTTCTTCCGGTGCTCTTCGCTATTTGTAGCCGCCCCCCATTTGTAGATCAAAACAATAACGATCGAAAGCAATCCTCAAACCGATGCTGATGACCGATGAGGACACCTTTCGTGAATTGCAAAATATCTTCTCCCTTGACGGGACTTAGACATCTTCATATTATTATAGGTCCATGAAAGAACTAAGCCCACTTCTAGCTCTAAGGCTAATTGTACTTTTTATATTTCACCAAGGGTCAAGAGGGAGAAAACCTTCTTCCCCTTGGGAGTATGACAATCAGGTCCTCTCTATCCAAATCATATTTGGAGATAAAGTCAAGAAGATCTTAAGGTGTAGAAGTGTATTAAAGTTTTTTCATGGGCCTTTATGACCTTGTCTGAATCTGTTAAGGAAAATATTCAATCCTTTCAATTTTATGTCTATTAGGCGAGTCTTAGTGAGAGTTTGGTATCCAACTTTTCAAGACTTATATATATGTTGAGTTTGTAAAACGGATCGGGAACCTTTGTACATTCCTGATAGTTTCAGGGTACCTTGACTATCACGTGCAATCTTATATTCAGATGATTCAGATATATACAGGACATTTATATCTAATTTTATACATAAGATCAAAATTACATTCAATTAAGCCTAATACTGTTTTGTTCTCCACATTCTTGGATACCTGCGTTCTACTGTTTTGGGATCAACTACCAACAGACCTTCGGGTTCCCCTAAATGTCTCGAAGGTTTTTAGAATTTTAGTTATCCTAACATTAATATTAAAAGCAGGAGCATTTTTTTGAACATCGTCCATTCCATCCAATGACAAGTGGGCCGCCGCTCCTACACCTCCCTATAGAAAGTTAGGACTATGTGATCATCTAATGATCTAAATTAATTCAAAGAGCACGTAACAAATACAATAGAGTCTGACGGTTGTATTTGTAGCTTGTTGAGTCATCCATTTCGGATTGAACAGACAATGCGAGTTGATTGCTGTTGCAATCCGCACGTCAAGGCAAATTGACAGCCCAAGTAGATTTATCCTGCATATTTGTTTTACTTTAATCGCTTTTGCCATGTAGATTTTTTTTTTGTGAAACAGGAGACGCCACCTACTTGTTAGAATAAATTAAGTAAAAGTCCAAAGAAAGGTTACACTAGAGAAAAATAAAAAGGAACCCAAATTACATTTGTTATTTAAGCTGTCTTTTTTTCCCCCAGAAAGAATAGCATAGTTAAATTCTGAAATAAAACTAAGGTGGACAGATTTTGCCACAAGAAACTTTATTAGACAATTGAGGGTTTTGGGTTATAGACATCTTCTAATAAAAACACATCATACCGTGATTGTTACAAAGACATTACAATTGTCGCAACAATGAGACGTATAGGAGATCAAAAACTCTAATGTACCAAAGAAAATCAACAAATAAAACAAAAGAAAGAAATTTGAAATCTACAAATTGCATCTGACAAATCCTCCTTCACGGCTTATTCCATAATGTTGACATGAGACAAATCCAATCTATATCTATATCTATATCTATATCTATATCTATATCTCTTTTAATTTATAATTCTAAACCCACTATAATTCTATCTCGAGACGCAAGACATCCACATCAGCACTCCACTAGCATATACAATTATGACACTTATCTATTCATGCAAGCAACCCAGGTCATCATGCCACATATTATCTACTAAAATTGACTCGCTATTCCTGCAACAACGCGCGGGGTATGCTTCTGGTATAAGAGAAGAGAAACAACTCCATCTACTTCTTGAAGCTCTAATCACCAAACAAGGCAACTGATATATAAGCATTCTCATTTCCACTGAAGTAGGCAGTGAGAATACTCTAGATACCAATAGCTACTGAAGACTTTAGATTGGGCAACCACAGTATACACATAAATAGCACCGGTATACAAAAGTCCTCTAAAGCAACGCCTCTAACAAGGACCCAACTATAGTGATCACAACCGTTTGTCTAGAAAAGGGCAAAGTTTTCACCTAGAGACCCTACCACTAAAGCAACGCCTCTAACAAGGACCCAACTATAGTGATCACAACCGTTTGTCTAGAATAGGGCAAAGTTTTCACCTAGAGACCTAGTGGTAGGGTATAGGATGCAATGATGTCATCTCCATGGACCATGGAGAATAACGACATCCAAAACATAGTGATGTAAGGTGGGTTGTCCGCGAACATGTAAATAGGATTAATTTTTACGGGTTACCCGTATAACCTGCGAAACTAAGCCTATTTGCGGGTTCACGGGCAATCCTCCTTGTATCTCTAAAAAACATCATCACCGTCGAGACTGACATAGAGACCAACATGGCTTTTACCTGCACACACCAACCTACCACAACAAAGGCAAAAGAGTCAATGAAGCGTGTCCAATACCATGCTATTGCCAAACATTAGGGACATAGCACCCAAAGCATGAAGATGACGAAGAACGTCCCATATCACACACCATCGTGGTATGCCGAGTCCTTGAGCGCCTATTGCTAGCCATGTCATGCACAATTGGGTCACCGGATTATGCTCGTAACAAGAACAACCATAACAAAGGGACTAAGCCTTTGTTACAAATTTAGGCATTTTCATGTTTAATTTAATCCAAAAAATCTATAGTAAATTGGTGACAACATGTATGTGTATGTGTGTGATATTACTACTTGCACTAGTAGCAGGTATGAACATGAACAACATACAGATCATAGCGGAAAAGATATTGAATTTAACAAATTCAAGAATAGAATTATACCCGGTGGAGGGACCCATGCTCAAGGCACCGGTGGCTCCACATGCACTAGTCGACATAGTGCGTTGCTCGATGTTGCGGACCACAGTCGATGCAGGATGAGGTTTGCAGTGCCGTCCCTTGAATGTCCACCAGGAAGAAGATGATCCAAGGAGGAGGAAGAAGACGACGCCCACAAGGAAGAAGAAGACGACCTGAGGAAGTTAGCGAGCAGTCACCGAGACACTCCCCAAAAGCCTAATCACCCGCACACCCGAGCAGGTGTCGCTATGCGGACGGCGGTTCCGGAGGCCTGCGCTCCCAACTCTCCGTGTGCGCAGAGGATTGGGATGGGGAAACTCGGGAGCAACTCAACAAAAGAATGATGTTGCTGGATGTGTTGTGTCTCGTCCGCGCGGCTGAAGGTAAGCATTCCTTCCTATAAGCACGAAAGGTAGAAGATGAAGTGTAGAGGATGAACTTGGATGTCATGAGGCGTCATGAAACGTCCATCAATTACTAGTAACATCTGCCATAAACATGGGGGTTACTACTAACTACAACCATAACCATGGGAGTTACTATTAACCGCAGCCATAACTATGACCGTTACAAGTTCAGCCATCAACTACATTCAGTCCACCATTTTATTGCACCTAGCATCTAATATGGCCTTATAATTTATTTGATTTAATTAAATAAAATATGGGTCATGCCCACATTAAATCTAACAATCCCCACCAAATTCTATGGTGCATATGAAATGCTCTCTATTCTCTGTTGTTTGATATACTAGTGTTTCGATGGAGACCGTTAAGTTGAACATCCATCTAGAATAGAGGTTACACTTCTTCACAACTGAACAATGGACTTTGCCTTTAATTGATAGTTTTGTGCGAAATAAGTTTCACCTAAGTCTTTACTGATAGCAGGTTGCCTAAAGCATCCCCTCTGGTTGGAGCATATAAGTCAAACTCCTGGGCCTTTCATGAGTATCTATAGAACACCCAAATCTCATAGACTATGACTAGCAGTCAAACTCATATAGGTGTATTCCTCAAAAAATATTCTATAGGACAACATCTTTGCTTTAGCAAGCCACTTGAAGCATGTTAAGGTAAAACCAACCTGCCTTACAGCAAAGGAAAGACATGCATCTGACATGTGCCTAGTTCAGGGTCTTTCCTCACAATCTACCAATAGCTTGTTTCACCATCCTACTTCATGGGATCTTCGATCACATAGAACATGTTACCACCATGATAGACTTAATGTGGATCTCAAGCCTATCTCACTAGATGTACTATCTATCACATTACGTGATAGTCCTTTAGTGAATTGATCTGCCAGATTTTTAGACGTATGGACATAATCCAATGCTATCACTCCAAAGTTTCTCAGTTTTCTAACAGATTTTAACCACCTTTTTACATGCCTTGTGGACTTCATATTGTCCTTAGAACTGTTTACCTTGATTATCACAGTTTGGTTATCATAGTTCATAGAAATAGCCGGTATAGGTTTTTCTACTACCGGTAAATCTATAAGAAGTTCACGAAGCCACTTGGCCTCAATGCCAGCAGTGTCTAATGCTATGAGTTTTGCTTCCATGGTTGACCTCGTTAAGATGGTCTGCTTGTAAGAC